CGGCAAAGTGAGAGGAAAGGTAGTCAAGCTTCACATAGACCCTGATGTGCAGCACAAACAATAACCACACCGCCGAATCCCCTTTCATGTACGGCAAGACGTGGAAAAGGAGCTGGAGAGACTAGAGAGCTTAGACATTATCGAAAAGGTGACAGGCCTAACTCCATGGGTGAGCCCCATCGTAGTGGTCCCAAAGAGCTCTGGAGAAGTCAGATTATGCGTAGACATGCGAGAAGCTAACAAGGCGGTAAAGCGTGAGAAGCACCTAATGCCGACCATAGACGACCTGGTCGCCGATGCAACCATTTTCAGCAAGCTAGACCTCTCCTCCGGATACCATCAACTTGAACTAGAACCAGAGAGTCGCCACATCACGACTTTTAGCACTCATGTAGGTCTGAGGAGGTACAAACGTCTGATGTTCGGAATAAACGCCGCATCAGAGATCTTCCAGAATGCAACTGAGGAAATACTTACAGGCCTACCGGGATGCAAGAATATCTCTGACGACATCATCGTGTTCGGAGCGGCTACAGCAGAGCATGACCAGAATCTCTATGGTGTCCTGACCAGACTCCAACAACACGACGTACGTCTGAACAAGGAGAAGTGTAGTTTCTCAAGGAGTGAGGTCACGTTCTACGGCCATATTTTCAGCAGCGAAGGAATCAGAGCCGATCCTGAGAAAATACAGGCGATCACTAACATGGGCGAGCCAGCGAATATAAGCGAAGTCAAGCCGTTACTAGGAATGGCCCAGTACGTTTCGCGCTACATCCCAGAGTATGCTACAATCACGGCACCGTTACGGGCTCTCACGAGTCGAGCACTCAGCGACGTGGAAACCAGATACTCACAGACCGAGAGGGAACTGCTAGCGATCGTGTGGGCTCTGGTACATTTTCGTCTTTACCTTTATGGATCTGAGTTTACACTCGTGACGGATCACAAGCCTCTCCTAGGCATCTTTAAGAGTCACAAGCCCACTTCAGCTCGCATGGACCGATGGAAGCTAAGGCTGATGCCGTACAACTGTCATCTTGTGTATCGGCCCGGAAAGGATGCTGAGAACCCCGCCGACTTCATGAGCAGACACCTAAACCTCCAAACAACCGCAGAGAGAAACGTTGCCGATGAATATGTGAACTATGTTTGCACCAACGCCATACCAAAGGTTATGACACTTCAAGAGATTCAGGCTGAAACAGAGAAAGATTCCACACTTCAGTCACTGATCAAGGCGATCGAGACAGACCGCTGGACTGACTCTGAGATACTAGACTACAAAAGACTCAAGGACGAGCTACTGGTCTACAGTGGAGTGGTACTGAGAGGTAACAGAATCGTAGTCCCAAGCAAGCTGAGAGAAAGAGCCGTAGAGCTGGCACATGTGGGACATCAAGGCATCGTAAAGACGAAGCGCTTAATTCGTGAGAAAGTTTGGTTCCCTGGAATAGACAAGATGGTCAAAGATAAAGTCGATAACTGCCTAGCATGCCAAGCAGTAACTCCAAACAAGACATCGCGAATTGAACCTCTGCAGATGACGCCGCTACCTAGTGGACCATGGAAAATGCTGGCAATGGATTTCCTTGGACCATTCCCTTCGGGTGACTATCTCCTAGTTGTCATTGATGAATACAGCTGCTTCCCGGAAGTTGAGATCATCAAGTCCACATCAACCAAATCTGTTATCCCGAGTCTCAATGCCATATTTTCAAGGCAGGGAATCCCGAACAAGCTGAAGACCCACAATGGCCTCTCTTTTAACGGAGTCGAGTTCAGCAACTTTGCGAAGCATTTAGGATTCCATTACAGGAAAGTTCAACCTCTTTGGCTGAGAGCTAATGGCGAAGCAGAACATTTTATCCCAAACCTTGGGAAGTGCGTGCGAACTGCTGTTGTTGAGGGCAAAAATTGGAAACAGGAACTCTACAAATTTCTCAGATAGTATCGTGTTACACCGCACATGACCACGAATGTATCCCTAAGTGAAGCACTCAATGGAAGGAAACTCAAGATCACCCTGCCAGAAGTATCACCAACACCAGCTAGAAAGCATACCCTGCAGGAGACTCGGAAGACTATGGCAGACAGAGATGCAGAACAGAAGTCAAAGATCAAGGCATATGCAGACTCGAGACTGAACACAAATCCAAGCAATATCAAACCAGGAGATACAGTGCTTGTGAGACAAACAAAGAAAAACAAATTAGGCACTCCTTTTAATCCAGAACCCCTTGTTGTAGAGGAAAAGAAAGGATCTATGGTTATGCCTAGCAATGGTTTCAAGTCCATAACGTGAAACTCAGCTATGTTTAAAATCATCCCAAAAGATCCGAAAGCTGAAGGAGATCGCAGAGAACAGGAAGAACCAGAGGACTTGCTGAACAAGCCGAAGTTTCGACATGAGATGAAGATCCAAACCCCCCAAGTGCAAATGACGGAGGCCTGGGGAGGTCACAGAGACAGAGGAGACCCCCAGCGAGGCTCGCAGATT